CAGTTGTCTTCATTTAAAGCATAAAGCTCTATACGTGATATCTGAGACATCAAGTTAGTTCTGAATGGCCTTACTACTTAAAGTCCTTTTAATACAAGATATGTTTATATGCTGTAAACAACTATCAAGAGGCTATATGGTGACACATTCAGATGCTTAATGCGTACTGAAGTTAGCATTTTAAAAAAGAGGGCCGTATATCGGTCCACAACCCTGCAACACCGAGCTATAACGTTTTCAGATATCTCCATCCTGCTTTTTATTCCAAAAACTGTCAGCGATCAAAAACCCAAAACAAGACTACTCCGATCAGTCCTCTAAATTAAAATCGGCAGTCTCATATGCCGGATATGTTTGTCAAACCTCACCAAATAACGTCTTTTTTGTTTAAGACGAAACAACAGAACTCTACATATGCACAATGATATCTTATAGCATCATCAGTATTACTTTTATTTGTTTTTCTTACGATCATTAATGTTCCAATTATTATTTTCATTGTCCCAGCTATCGTGAGACTACTGCCTGTTTTTATTCAGTTTACCTTTCTGTATTTCACATGTAATTGAAATTTCGTACGTGTTCCTCTCTTTGGGCAACTCATGTAGGAAATCCCTTTCGTTTTTAAATTTCAAATGACAAGTTTCCTCTTCCTCTCCCCCTTAGTATTCTTTTTGGCTTTCCTTTTCTGAAATACAGAAAACAGCTGAGAATGGCCACTTCCCCTGCAAAGCATCCTGGTTGAGCGTGGCCCTAAATTGTCATTAAATGAAAAGGTCAACAGCAAATTGATGTCAGATATTATTTTGATTTTGCAGGACCTAAGGCAGTAGAGATATCTAACATGAACCTGCGCCCGGCTGGTAGATTCGCTGATTGTTCTGAAACGAGTATTTCCGTCTTATTGGAGTCATTTGGAGTTGGCACTAGTTTTTCAAACGAGACACATTTGTCAATGGAGCACGAAAACCCTATGGAAAGTTTTCCAAATAACTTCCGAGTTCCACAGGCCTTTTGTGTTACTCCCGAAATAACTTGTCTGCCCTCAGAGTCGGCAACAAGTTTAAGCGAAAGCAGCAAAAGCAGTGTTACCCTTCAACTTGTTCAGGAAACAACGTTTACCAAGAAAGAAGGTCGAAAGATCTTTGATGTTCAACCGCAAGCAAGGTATGAAAGCTTTAAAGATGTCCCTGGCTCGACTTGTTGCACTTCATGTGGGATCCGGGTCTTGACATACACTGAATACCGTGTAAGTAGCGCGACCTGGGCACTAGCAGGTTTGTTATGTGCCTTTGGCTGTCATTTTGGCTGCTGTTTAATACCTTTCTTTATCAAATCATTTAAGGATGTGATCCATTTATGTCCTCTTTGCAAGACACAATTAGGGAGATTTACCCAAGTGTGAATAAAGGTTCCATATTCTGCAGCCGAAACTACTACGAAGGTTAGCGAACCCGAGAATGGGCCCAAAATTTTGTATCACGACCACACCCAATAACCCTAGCAGATTTGTCTACATTCCTGCGTGTTGTGGTGAGTATCTGTTTATCAATGCTATTTTAATGCACGCAGGAATAACAAACAACTCACGACAATACGTAGGAATGTGGGCAGATCGGCTAAAAAGAGAGGATGTTCTCGCAATATACAATTTCGGGCCCATTCCGCGGTTCTTAATGCATATTAAGAAGCTGGAACTTGCACTCCAAAATCTGCAAAACTAGCAAAAGACAGTGGTTTCATAAACTATGGTTTTATCCAGCGGAAACAGTAACCATATTCTCGAGGTTCTCATGATGGAAACACCTACAAGGCTTACAAACGCTCAAGGAACGATGTTAGGGACATCTCCGCTAAGACTTACTAGATTCAAATTACTGACTATTAGACTAGCAAGTTCATTTGCCAAAACTACAGTGTAGCCATGTAAAAAAATATGTATGTCGTTATAATGGTTACGTCTTGTAGCCCCGGATTTTGCTCCTCCAGAAGTTCAAAAGAAACGTAGGCGAAATCAGATCCATTTGTTAGCTCCGTCAATAAAATACAAATGCACACTTAATTTCTTTGCTACTTGCGTTCATACGAGGCGGGGGAGGGGGGAGGGGAGGGATAGGAATATTTCTGATACAGAAAGTAGAAGCTCCAAACAACGGCGCGCTGTTTAATTGAGGGCTCCGTGTTGTCTCCATTGCGTGACAACTCAGAGACCCCATGCAACCCCTTGCATCAACTTTTCCTAAGGAGCTGGAGGGAAAGTTTGGATCTCATCGTTAAACCGTGACGCTCTACTGCGTTTGAAGACATTTGTAGAAGGGTGACAGACGAAGCTGCCTTCATTTTTTTTGTAAATATGCTCGTCCATCCTTCTTCGGGCACTCTGTTCCTTGAACAAAATCCGATTTAAGCATATGGAGGTTATGGTTTTTGAAGCCACGTGAACAATCATGATTATTTTTTAAATAGTGGTTGAACGCCAACATACATATTCATTTGAAGATTCAGGCTATGTTGAAATCGACATCTTTTCGATACTTTGTAGGACAAGATTTTTATTGGCATGAAATGGTTTCGTCGATTACAAAAATAGGTACAGGCCGAAATGTGTCATGAATGAATTCTGGCAAATTTATCCCGTATATTGTCGTAAATATATATGTTTGGTTGGATTGTACTTTCAGTTGCTTTGAATTTTTTCCCCCTCGCGTCTAACATTCGTTGGCTGATCCCAAGGAAAAACCAAGCTATGGCGGCTGTGGCTAAATGTTCTGAAGTCTACTGAAAACAGTATCACAAACAGTCCATTTTTATGAAGAAATCTTAACAATATTCCGCATTATCTCCAAATTTTTACCAAGTCTTTATTCGTACTATCGTTCGATGTTGTCTTGTTGCGTTATTTTACCATCAAATTTCCTAAGTGTTTTGTGATTACACACAATATATACTATGTAGTTTGTGAGAACCTTGTAATAAGAAGCTCTCTGAGCCCGACTAACCACTCACATATTTTGGCATGTACGTATTTCTTTGATTTAAGTGTCAAATGTGAAAATAACTGCCGGTTCGTTTTCAAAGAAGGAGTTAAAGCCAAGGTTAGAACCCATGCCCTTTTTTTTTCTCGACGTCCACCTGGAGTCTAAGTGAGTTGTCGTGATGATTGGTTTTGTCATGTCAGGTGACTGGACATACCTCAGCTAAGCTTGGGTAATATCCAGGTGCTAGTGCCGCAAGTGAGACTCCCTGCTTGCAAACCTTACGTCCCACAGTTAGTTTGAAATTTCATTTGCGAGGGGTCAAATTCATGTTATTATCCCAGAACAAAGGATCAAAGTACACCAGAGAACGTTCCACAAGGTAAATGATTTTGACCGATTTTAAGCCAAACGTTTTGTCCGCTCGCTCGCAGCAAAATGATAATCGATGGGTAGCTTTTGCTTATCGCTACTTGCATGCATATATTAACTCTAACAATCTTGAGTGTAACGTCATCAGTAATCGAAAACGGCTGCAAACATATGTAAAAGTTTTGGAGTTGTACGCTAGTTTTCAAAAGACACCTACAGCACTCGCGATCTTCTCGCATGTGTTTTCTGTGGGAACAGAGCGAATCAAGATTAGTTTGTGGAATGTCGTTTTCCCGCGATGTACACAAAAACACCTTTAATATTGTAAAGAGACAAATATTAGTTAAGTTTCAATGGAAAAACCAAATTGAGGAGAATAAGCTTGACAAGATAGACGGTGGCTTAAAACGATACTTATTGACCCGAATGGCAAACGACCAACATCTAAAATTTGGACTTGATTTTTCAGTGAAGAATACACTAACTATTTGAAGAGAGTGAGAGTTTGTAACTTGCTCGAATGTGATTGTTTCTGTGGAAAGGGGAAGTAGATGGTTCGTATCACGAGATCCATAAAGAATCGACAGAATTATTTTTTCAGTAACTAAGGTGTTTCCTTCCGTTAACATGCCGAAAATTAGTTCGGTCCTTTTTTTAACTTAAAGTTTCAAATAGAACTACCAAAGAATTCTTGACTAATTTTTTCGCTATGTTTGCATGAAAATCATACCTGTTGGGTCTTGTGACAAAAATTTGTTTGTTTGTAGTCTCTAGTTTCATTTTAATCGACGTGTCGCTTTAAAATACATAAAAAGCCAAAACAAACTAAGTCCTTGAATTCTTTGTAGCCAAACAGGAAACACAGGAATTACATTCAAATTCTAAGCGACTTTTGCCACTTTAAAAACAAGAAATCAATGCCGTTCGCGCGTCTTTAGAAGACTTTTTGGCGACCGATTAACGGAGCTTACATGTCTTTGGTGTTTAAAACACAATTGATGGTGGACTGAGATCCTAAGAATATGGCATAGGAGCGCAAGATAATATTATAACAAACCTCACATGTGTCAAAATACAATGAAATTCTAATTTGTAACCGATTCCTGCATTAACTGTCAAAAGGTATAATTAATGAGTTTTGATGACTTACGCTCGACGCCACACTGAAAAAAATGTCCATAAATGAAAAATTGTTCTTCTAAATTTATAAAATTTAAGGATCAACTTGTGTCGGACGATTTCGTTATAGATTTTCTGGTCTTTGTAACGCGGCGCAAAAATTTGCGACCAGTGTCACTTTGCTTCTTTTTTGCAATGTTTCCCTCAGGCTAGCACAAGCCTCCTTAACTAAACTGCACTCTTGCTGTTAAATAAAACAAATGCTCTGATATATCATAAGTGGGTGTTATTCCAAAATTAATGAACTTTTTTTATCCTCTTGTACCGGTAAACAAATCACAGCGATTATCGTCCTTAGCCGGAAAAAAAGGAAGGATTCATGAGAGCTTGATGACATGAAGTTATAGGGAATGTTTTGAGACTGAGCAAATGCCTTAGGTGGTTCAGTCGGGAAGAACGTTTATTTTAGAGTTTTCTTCTATTACCATCGGAATTTCTAGAGACGCTTGACAGAATATTATCACATCATTATTTCTAACGTCTGAGGCGATTCAGGTAATTGGATAACAATGTGTGACACGTGACCATGGAGCTCACGAAATCAAATAAAAACTTGGCGTACTTCACTTCAAGAAGACATTGTCAACCTTGACATGAACAGCACATGCAACATGACAAAAACCGTGGATCGATTCAACAGCAGCGGTCTCGAATTCACTTATCCGATGAACTCGCAGCATGCGCCAGGAAGGAGTAGAGCACAACTCCAGCCGTACAATAGTGCGCAAACCAACAACACTGGAGCTTATCATGTTACACCATGCTTTCGCTACCGCCAAACACAAGCTCCCGAGCAAGTACCGTTGGACTGGAACATTCCTCTCCTTCCAGAGATCTGCAATGGCTTCCCAACAGTTTCTCAGTCTTTAGTACAAGACTTGAATTCAGCGTTACCACCCTTTGGTTCAAGGGTCTACCCAAACAGGGACCGGACGTCCTGCGGAGAAGATGCTCTCCAGTGTTTCACTACCTTTACAGGTGGGTTTTTTATATTTCCCTCACGTCTTATCATTCACTTAAAAGTAAGCCAGCGGCTGACTTTTCACACGCAAATTAACGCTATATTTACACCCAAGGCTCAACTTCGCACTTTTAAGAATCTCACAATTACGTGAATTGCCCTTTGCTCTTGTCGTCAAAAATGTGATGTGAATCATCTTGTCAAAGAAGACAACCAAGCTTACATTGAAGTTTTCATGGTATAAGAATGATCGGAAATATTGTTTTTGACGCCTTTAGCCGCTTACCGTACTTCTTATCCTCGAAGGTATAACTAAAACTCGTGACGCCGGTGTAGGAATTTCGCGCGTTGAACATTTGCCGAAGGTCTTAAAATGACGCATTGAACGTCTTTTCGACGTAAATACTTCTTCCTCGGTGATTCAGTTGGGTGATTTCTCCTCAGCTTGAGAGAGATGTTTTGTAGAGAAAACAGGACTAACCATTACTCAGCTGACAATCGATTTATTGAAAATGTAATTACTAAAAGGCCGCCCAAGAAGATAGGAACGTTCTCTACGTTCTTCGAGTAAGGGCATCCAAGAAAGCCAAATTGAGCTCTTTGAGGTCGTTGAGTGAGTACTCTACAGAAGTTCCGCTGTGTTTGAATCTTCTCGTCGTATTCACATGCACAATTTTATTTACTTAAACTTCATTAAGCGATTTTGCTAAACGTTCAATTCCTAATGTCATTAAATTTTGTTGACAAAGTAAAACAACTAAAAAAGGAATCTAATTGGAGCTCTGACTTCAGTCCTATCAGCGAGAACCCCTTCTCGATTTCTGTACTTGTCATTCAAGTCTGTCTGGGAGTTACCGTGTATTCACAAAGAAGACTTCACATTTGAGAAAAACAACTATGATCTATGAAATGGTTTGATTTATCAAGACTATATTACTTCGAAACCAGTGACAAACCAGGTTGTAAACTCAGTTATTGATGAAGTTCCAATTTCCCGCATGCGACGAAGGAGATCGCAAACATTCCAACTCTGTTCATGAAGCTGTGACTTTGCACTGACTATGTTCTGTGGAATGATTTATGTGCGTTAATCGCGCATTCATGTTCGAGGTGAGGTTTCAACCTAAGGGCTTCAGTAACACGTTTGATCTCATACAGAAATTAGCTTGTTAGCACAAGCTCTGGAAACAACTCAGGCTGACCACAAAATCCTTCCGTGTCATTATTTCAATTCCCTGATCTCTTCGCTAATCCATAGTTACGCTGTTTTTGTGATTGTGCATCAAATTAACCGTAGAATAGCTAATTTCCTTTTATAGTAGATCGTTGTGACTTGATCTTCTAGCCAGGAAAGTAAAAGCTGAGGATTACTCAACCAAATATTTGCTCTGAGCTCGTAGTATACTGAAGATCATCGCAGATCACGATAGAGCACAAAATGGCCGAAAGATTGTATGTTGGAAACCTAACGTAGTTTTTAATTTAATTAGGAAATGATTCGAAAAATTGTGCCATCAAAGCACAGTGTCTGAGCAAGAGCTGTTTAATTTTGACGTTCAGGCTCCTCGGTGCGTTTGTGCGTGAACAATTTTGGTTAGAATTTTACTTTAAGTGCCATTGTCCCGAGTAATTTAGGCTGGGTCCGACGGCGGACAGATGCCAGCCGTTAATTAAATGCAATAAGCACTTTTTTTAGTAAAAAATGGTATTTTAATCCATTTTGATTTACGATCCGTCAAACATTTAACAGAACGGATAAGCTTAGTCAGGCAAATTTAATTCTTTATAGCACTTAAGTTCAGTAATCTTCTTCGGTCAAAGAACACTTAAACGAAGACTCGAAAACGCTTTTAGAGTTTGAAATGCTGTTTCTGAATCGTTCATTTCCAAACGCATATTCACCAGACTAACAAAGTACCATAAATCTTTGTGTTATTTTCGTCAGAAGAGAGACCAAAAGGTCGGGGAAGGGAATCTTGGTCGTCCGCCACGGTGCGCTCCCGAGCTAGAACAGCGTACACAGCAAGACAGCAAGTCGAGTTGGAAAAAGAGTTTCTATTTAGCCGATACATAACCCGTGCGCGAAGAATAGAGCTGGCCAAGTCTTTAAGTCTCTCGGAAAAACACATCAAGATATGGTTCCAAAACCGAAGAATGAAAATGAAAAAGAACGAGACCACGTTTGAAAGCACAAAGACAAGCCCCAATGAAATCCGAAGACTGTACAGCATGGCGGATGATTGACTTAGTAACATGTCCACGCACATCTTTTTTAATGGTTGGAAATTTTTGATGTTGATGTTGCATTTGCCTATATATACACTATACATTTTGATGTTGTATACTGAAAAGTTTGCAGTCATTTTTGTAGGACAAAACAAATTCGCCAACACATGTAAATATTTCACCAGACAACAATATTACGAAACTTACTAAATTTCCCTCAAAATTTCATCACGCATATCTATAATCGATAGGTACAGGATATTCCTGCTTAAATTTATTTCTGCCTTGAATTTTGTACAATTAACCTCTGAAGTGTTGTCGATATTTTGCATCCAACTTGTTAAGAAACAATCAACTTAACACGTCAGTAGGATTTCCTTTCCGGCAGCAGAGAGAAAGATGTTGTTTATACCACGAAGCGGGTCACAGCTACGCTTAATAGCTGAGAGATTCATTCAAACGCACAGTGGGATATACTTACAAGAATACTAAGTCATTAGTTCTTCATGATCAGTTGCTATACGTCTGATTTGTATCACATAAGAAATTTTGACTTTCCCTTATTAAATTAAGTGTTCAGTATGTGCAAATGGTTTCAATTTATTTCGGTACGATAGACCTCGACAGATACCTCCCATGCATTTTAAAGTATTCTAGTCTTGGAACCTACCTTTTTCAAAGTGGCTCAATATTTTTCGTTCTAGCTATTTAACGAAAGGTTTTCCATTTTGTATTTCGCAATGCAGCCTCCTCAAACCTCAAATTTAATTTTCATCCATTCGGCCGGTGTAAAATCAACAGTCATCATTTATACCTTATTATTTCATTGTGAGTTTCAGTTCAGTTCAGTTCAGTTCCTCTTTTTAAAGTCAGTTGTTAAAGAGGTTTACAAGAAAGAAATAAAACACTATTTTAAATCTTATCACTAGATCCTTTCAGTGGGAAATATTAACCTCCATGTTCAAAATTTGACCTCAATGAAACATGTGTTAAATTCTTTGGAAGACATTCAGTTTGGTTCCGAGTTAAAGACTGAAGTCCGTTTTGCAGTATAGTATTCCATAGTGATATTTTTATGATATGCATGGTGGTCTTCTTGTGCCTGCTCAGTCTGTCCTTCAACCTATCTGTCGGTGAAGTCTTATTCAATTTACTTTGAAAAAAAAATGTCCACTTGCGATTGAAATAATAAACAAACTTTGTAAGAAAAAAAAAAACGAAAGCTTATCACAGCGTTCCTTTTTTGCTACACCTGATCTATAAGAGCTTTCTTTAAATCATTGAAGAGATTGCACCTTAAACTTTTTTTAACTGATTAAAACTACATTCTCTTGGTAATCACGTGAATTATAATCATTGCATAAAAGAGAAAGCAGTTGGTGATCAGAGTTGGGGATGAAAGGGTTTGATATAAAGGGATTTTTATATTCTGAGGATATTTATGTAAAATTCATCGATTTTCTTTCCATGTGAAAGAAATGCAACTTTACCCCGGCCACTTAATGAGAAACTGAATAAGAAAAGCAGATTTTCTAATAGTCCATTCCGAAGAATCTTGAAGTCTGACCTGGCTAAATAATGACGCTTAGAGAGGAAGGTGGATAATTAAATATCAATTATTCGGTAGCTACACCCAAACTTGCGTCAAAGTTTATTACACGAAAAAATTATCAAACTCAACCTGCATCCGGATATCACGAGTCAACAATATTAGGAGGCATTTCCGTTTACTCACTTAGACACCACTATCAAACAATTTTTTTAACCGTCGAGTTACAAAGTGATATATGATGTCACAGGCGACACCTCTTAGTAACTGATGTGGGATGGTCATCCGAGATGGAAAACGGGTTAATTTTGAAGTGGAACAATGGCATGAAAACTTCTTTATAATAAGAAATAGCGGATGAAAGACATTTTGATTTGACAAAGAAAAAAACAATAACAACAAAGACAGCTTATCGAAGTTCCAAGGGTGTGAAATATGTAAAACAAACACAGTTCAACTAGATTTAACGATGTGTCAAGGGCGTGGGGAAATGTAGAGTGGTTTTGACGGAAAAACGCAACCGGATATCAAGGTCCTGTTTCATGTTTAAACCTTCCCTTTTTTCATTCCTGGAATTCACTTTGGCTTGCCAATGTTAAAAAAAGTGACTCGTAAACATCAAGTGAAGGATTAAAATGAACGAAATAGTGACAGAGATGGTTGTCGTAAAACTGGGGTTGAAAATTCATGCAAATTTTCGGCCCACTTTCAAAATCATTAGACCTCCTCAAGCCAACGGTGTTTTTTTTTTTGTTTTTGTTGTTTTTTTTTTTCAGCTAATTCAGTTGAAATTTTCGCCAACATCATCAGTGACCATGTTGTTTAAATAACCGTTAAAAAGCCCGGTGGCGTTTCCCCAGTGGGCACAAAAACAAACAAAAACTTAAACAAATAGATTTTCCGAAATACAGGAGGTTTTAAGGACAGTTAGGCACACCTTGATTGCTATTTCAATCCGCGTGCAAATAAGGAAAATCGTATTATGGAACTCAAACTTAACAATTCAATTAAGAGTCGAAGGTTTTGGACGAAAATCCTCTCTTGGATTTGAAGAGATTATGGCTTTATTAAACCATGTCCTCAGGTTGATTCATAACTTGAAATGTATCGACGTGGTACACTGTTGTAGATTCATACACTTTTGCGGCAAGACTTGAGAAAATCACAGCACAACCACATAAAAATTCCTTACTTTGTTTTAAGCATTTATCTTTTTCTCGCGGTCTTCCAAAGTTCTAGTTTATCTTCACAAACATTCCGTCTACATAAGCCTGAATGACGCCGCTTTAAGCTCCTCATACGGGGTACCATTACAAAGATTAGCTCATTATGGTATCTCTGACACAATAGCAATTAATTTCTGTCAAAGGCGTATATCCTCTCGTCATTCACGACTGGCCGCCGTTTTAATGGCATTAAAATGTGCGGAATGCGCATGCTCTAACCGGCTATTAGGTCCCAGTCCTTTACACGCGCTGCAAGTATCCAACTCCCGCGAAGTTTATGGCAAAATTTCTTTCTGTGCTTTCAGCTGTTTATGAATTCATTTTGGCAACAAAATTGTTCCATTCGATCGATTGAGACAAAGCTATTTAATCGCCACTTGGCGCGAAAGTTAAAAAAAAATATTTCGGAGCCTGTTTTGCGATTATATCTAAGATGCTAGACATGACTAAAATGGTTGCAACGAGGTTTCTTTCGCTGTCATCTGAACTCCATAATAGAATGCGTGAGATGCGTGAAATGTGATAAACATGAAAGTTCATTTAATCAGGATGGAAGTTGGGTTAGTGAAGCCCTGTTTCGGTTCTTGACATGAATCTCTGCTATCTCCGCAAACTCATCTCTGCCAAGTAATCTGTACCCAAGAGGCAACAGCTGTAAGATGGTGTTGTGAAAACGTTCGCTTCCAAAACAGAACAGGTCTAGTCCCAGCTCAAGTCCCATGCCATAATCACATTCGTCATTCGCAAACTGTACCAGAGTCATGATTTCTTGGAGATCTTCCGAACCTTGCTCTTTCTCTCTTTCAGTTTTACCTTCCGTGATACGCTTGAGAATTTTCTTCAGTTCACCTGTTTGCCAAGAATTAAGGACAATTGCAAAGTGAGGGAAAATTGTTACCAGGTTTAAGCAATTTTGGCTTTGGCCTGAAAATCAAATAAGCAAAGACCTGAGAATCCAACCACTAATCTGAGCCCACATAGGTTGCTACATAAAGTCATTGAATCATCAAAGGCACATTTCAGTGTGTACTACATATGGAAAGTTTTGAATGGGGTTACTCCTTACATCAAAGCAATGGTCACCAGAACTCACCATCAGTCACAGTAAGAGGGCGATATCCAACATCATTTGCATCCACAGGGACTACAATCCCAGCTTTATGAAAAGTCTTGCTAACAACCCTCTTGTTCCTAGCTTTGATTGCAGGTGTTACTATCTCAGTGCTGTATTTCAACTTTTTTGCTTGCACTGTCAATGAAGCTTGTAGAGCTTTCAGTGACTTTTGTTTGGATTTAGCACTGGACATCTTCATAAAATCGCTAAGAAACTTGCTACAACACAATGTCAGAGAAGAACAGACAGGCATTGTCAGATGGCAGTTAATATAATAAGAGTATTGAAATTAATCCTTGTGTATTAAAATTAATCCTAAACTTGAGTGCTATTATGTGCTTCCTGGACTGGAAAGTGTCTAGGGGTGGGAGGGCAATAATTTAACTGAAAACAACTGTTGAGGAGGTGACCATCTCCTTAGCCAACAGTTAATTTTATTTACCTGACTGCAGCGAAAAGGTTTTCTCCTAGCACTGTGAACTCACAAGTCTTCTCAGCCTGGTTAGAGGCTACAAACACAGGAGGACTCTTAGGGTCATCTCTGAGAAACAACAAGAGCTGGTTATGGTCAATGACTGTATAACTGATACACAAGGAAATTAATTGATTAAAATATGTCTGGTAATGGTAAATTTTTCATCAAGGCACTAATTCCAAGTCTCTTTTTCTTTGCCAAACTCTTTTGTCTTATGTTTTAATTACTAGAGGCATTGACCCATATATATTTACTCAGTTACTACACTTAGTGCATTGTATTCTGAAGGAATATAGGCCTTTGACCTGACTGTTCTGTTATCAATATAGCTATTAATAATTTAATGTTCTGTTTCCATTCTGTTGTGCTCTTACAGGCCTGCACAAGAACAGTGTTCAAACTCACAACAAAGTGGTATATTGTAAATGATTCACATTTGCCAATTTTAATCTGAGTTAACTTGAGGTAGCCAATCTTTACTATCCTCTATAAATTGTGTTTCTCCTGTTCTGTACTACAGAATATCAACATTTGAATATTTATTTCATGTAAAAGTTTATTTCCTGGGTCAGTAATAAAGACACAAAACTTTACAGCATTGCTCATTTAAATGTTCTTGTTGATAATTTCGTTCACAGATCTTACCTGTAATAACCCACATGATATCCTGTTTTATCATCCCCTTTTAGGACAGTTAAGAATTCTGGTGGATCATAGTAATATCTCCAATGGAGGTGATATGATGTGATGTCTGACTCACTGATGTCATCAAATGATCCAGATAATATATCATATGGACCAACCAGCTTTAAGCCAAGAGAATCACTTAATGCCCCTACAGATGAAGAGAACAAAATAAATATCTAGAGTCCTGTTGGTGGATTCTGCAAATTGATCCACCCTAAGTGTGGTGTTCATTTTCTGTCATTGTGAACCCTTTCACTCCCAGGATCTAATTAGTAATTCTCCTTACTATCTGCCAAACAATTCTTATGATATTAGTTTAGAGAACTTGGTATTAGATCAACAAATAATCACATAATTGATATTCTTCTCTATTCTCATCACCTACATGCTTGATATTGTATTGATATTGTAAGGAGAAATTCTGTCTTGGTCACTTGTGGGAGTGAAAGGGTTAAGAACAAAATGATAGGTGGGAAGAAAGGAAAGCAATTAATTTTTGACAGCTGATTGTAGAAAACCTCTTCACTCCTTCATGTAATCAAAGTTCCAATTTCTCTCTAAAAAATTCAACATATTCTCTAGTAAGAGATGAGGAGAATGAAGAAAATTATCTGGCTGGCAACAAATTCTCTGAACTAACAGACAGAAAAGTATATAGCCCTAATTAAGGAGAAAGTATGCTAAAATCTTAAGCATAAGAGTTAACAAATTTTTAAACTTACCACATGGATTATCGCTTTTGATGGTCTTGCAAAACTCCCAAAAATCAAAGAAGTCTTGAGGAAGGTCAACTTTGAGTGCTTCTCTCAGTTTGTCTTTTACATCTGAGACGTTTGTCTCCTCTTTGTCTGGAAAAAAAATAAAGCTTCATCTCGTCAGTTAAGATCTAATCCTAACGCTTTAGAATAAGGTTTATGAGGTCACTCACCGATGTAAATTGTGGAAATAAAATTTTCAAGCTGATTACCTTTCGCAGGGCGCTTGCTAAATGTCAACTAACTTAACAGTATCGTATAAACAGCTGCAATTGCATCGAGTTTGATTAGATTTCTTTCTCTCGGAAAGATTTGAAAGAGTATAAATTTTAAGGATAACTTTTAAAGATGGTGGAAAGTTTCGAAAAGTTAAAAACATCAGACTTCAATTCAAATTCTATTAACTGCAATTTAATTAAGCCTGACTTGTAACTTTTATACTTCGAGCATTTCATTTCCATAATACTTGATCTCGAAACAAATAATTTAGGCATTGCTATAATAAATCATTTTACTTGCTGCCTTAGCCGACTGCTCTTGTTCTTCAATCTTCTTGTCCCGATCTAAGATTCTCTTCTCGGTTTTCCTTCGCTTTTTGGCCGGAGAGCGAGCTTCGTCCGCCATGTTGAAACACAGCAGCAAGTTGGCGGGAACTTGGCGCCAAGATGCTCGTTCCCAGGAATGTTTACTTAGCATTAGCGTTCACCCAGTCCACTGGAGTGTCTGCCTGCATAATGAGCATGCTAACACTTGTCGGGTAGAAGTTGTTTTCTTGATCTGACGCCAAATTTTCGTAACTAATTTAAAAGAAAACGTGTAACAGCTAGAGGGGAGAATTAACACTCCCAAGACCAAGTTGTATAGAGACGGAATAACACTATCCAATGAATAAATCGCTCTCCAACAAATAAGTGATAACTAAGAGTACTGCGCTATCCACTGGATAGAGTTATCTTGTGGTTGACGCTATCAAACCTCCAAACATCCGGGGACAGATCTTAGGAGTCAAAGGGTTAATATGTAGATATACTAAAGAAAACAAAGCCAAAAAAAGGGAGAACGTCTACAACTGGTGTACCTCGCCAGAAGAATGAAACATTTGTTGCCCTAATGATTCGACTAAGCGCTCTCCTTCCACAAAGCACCCCCTCTCCAATAAGCGCCCCTCATCGAATCTGATTTTTGTTAATAGGCGCCCCTATTCTAAAAAGCGTCCGTGTTGAGTTAGCACTCTCATTCTAGTAAGCACTTCTTATTCTAATAAACACCCCTATTCTGTTTCGGTGCTGGCACTGCTAGAGTACATGTAAATTGAGATCAACCGTAGTTCATCTTCCTGTTATTTTTCACCTAAAGCCCTACTTCAAAAACAGTGGTCTCAGTTTCTCGGTTTTTATAGCCACGTATATGCACAGTTCCTTCAAACGAATAACATTGTCTTAAAAGCTGTGTGAAGATTGTTTAGCGGGTCGATCTGGCCAGGTAGGATACTAGTACAACAACTCAGTTTTCCAGTCCAATTGATTCTTTTCATATAAACATCAAAGCTTTGTTTCGCACATTCTGCTGTTTCGCAAAGTAGAAAGAAGCGCCCCGTTTCGTTAATTAGGAACCAAACGTTGATAACCTCCCTAGGCGCTAAATCAAATCATTACGGTAAGTCTTAGCCGGGGTAAAAAAAAACTTCATTTACAATTAACTTGTTTGATCATAAAGAGGTGACTGATTAATACCAAAGATGAAAAAAAAAAAAAAAACCACAAAAACACAAAAACAACTAGAAACACATCAATTTTCCTCCACTTTATTGACACCAATATAACAACAACGCTTTACTACCCAGTAACTAATAAACTGCACATATAACCCTCACCTTACCAACTTAGCACTTATAACTGAACCAATGTAAAAACTTAATCAATAAAAAATAAATTAGCATAACTCTTCCTTTGAAATTAATGGTGCCAGCACCAAAGATACACATGCCAGCATGTGCAAATCAACTGGGAAAAACACAGAGCAAAGATAGGATTGTTACAACAATTGCCTGTTACAACAATTGCCTGAAGTGAAATAACTTTAGTTTGAAGGAACAGAAAATAATGGCAAAACCAGTACAACAGTCAGTTGTTCAAAAGGTAGGAAAAAATTTCCTGGATTGTGAACTATCAGTTACAAGACACTGTCCAGCTCTTGAACAACCATGACCAACTGTGCAAGAAACACAAAAATCTAGCCAAAACATAAAATCGAACATATTTTCAGTTGAGTTCAATAAACTATGACAAGAGTAATCGCAACAGTCACTAAAAACCAAAGGTAAACATCACAAGAGCTGATAAGAGGTCAAAGCAAACACAAGCAAACCACCTAAAAGAAAGAAAACTGCAAGTGACCAAGTTGCAAATGGCTTCCTAGATTGGTGGGAGGGTGGCAAACATTTTTTAAACCAATCAAAGAGTGAGGCAAAGCAAAACCATTGCAATTCCAAATTACCAGTCAAACTCAACTTAAAATTGCTCAAGAGGAAATACCTCAAACTTGGAACTCCAAGGCAATAGAAACAACAGATTGCATAAATAAATACGTAAAGCTTCTATTGTGTGCAAAGAATTTGGATTCTCTAACCTATTGGAGTAAAGATAAACATTAATATTATACAAACTCCTTCTACAGGGCCATTACAGCTCAACCCTCACATGACTTAAAACCTTAAACAATATCACTTAAAAATATCTCTAAATTCATTCTTAATAGAGGCTGAAAATTAATTTATATTCCTCACAAGCAATAGTTGGATCATTGATCACTTACATACTGATATAAGCTATGATAACCCTAGTACTACCTCCTGTGATATTGTCCTCTCTATTGGAAAAAGCAGGAATCCATATTCAAGACAGTTTTCTGGGCTTTACTAGTTATTTACATAAAATAGCTAAAATCTCTTCAAACAAGGCAATGAGCTGTACCAGGGCTACCCAATATTTTTTGGGTAGTCACATTTTAATTGGTAAATCAATGAGATCAAGTTGTTCTGTTATTGGCAGTAGAAATATGGTCAATTTCTTCCCCTTTGCTTTGTGTGACCTGAAGATTTAAAAGCTCTTCCCCTCTAACCTGGTTGACCTACATGGCTGAATAGGCATGCACGACAAGAGATCCTGCAAGAGATCCTGCAATAACTCCTCTCTGTCTCTCTTCAAAACTCAAGGATAAATCATTGGATAAAAAATAGGAATTGGTTATAACTTATGGACATATATGTAAATACATGAATAAAGAACTTTTTTTAATTTGTCTTTCATATAAAAATAAAGTCATTTAGACTGAGACTGCATGATCAACCAACTTATAAGTTAACTACAGGATTGTATGGATCCTGAGTTAACTTAGCAGTTCATCAGAAAACTAAAGACTTTCAATTATTATTGATAAATTTATCATAAATTTGCAATTTACAACAGTGTATATTACAGATTACAAATTATCTTATGAAATATACAATTCTAGAATTATATCAGGAAGGTGAAACATTCTGGAGTCATCAGTCAGGTCGTAAAATTTGCTCCTTTGGTAAGAACTCGACCAGCAGTACCTAGGGTGTAAATACGAAATTTTCATATTCATCTTCAAAGAAAGATAAGAAAGAAATAAAGTACCAAAAGGAACCAACACACACAAAGAGTTTGGTCAGCTTTTGGTGAAGAATCTTCCAGACAGACTTGAAGGACAACAACAAAAAAATAAACAACTGCATAAACCCACTGGTACTGATGATGCTAGTCAAAGATTAAAAATCATGTTCATAGCAAGAAATAGAAACAATTGCCCAATGCAAACACTCACATATTCCATCATGTTACTGGAATTGCATCGCTGTTTATTTAATCGCCAGTGAAGCCCAAGCTGTGGAGGAAATAAATTCTGACTGTCAGTGGGATTTATTCACTCAGAATTAAGAAAACACCTACTTCATTTGGTATAAATATAAATACTATCCACATTACCACCTAACATAATCTATTTTTCATTCAACCATTGCTTTTCATGAGACATCTACATAAAAATTAATCAGTCTCGGAAAGTGTTTGCAAAACATAGGAGATTTTTACAACTCTTCAAAAATAAAAAGCCTGATCTGAAATACAGAAACTTCAAAACTCCCTTGAAAGACATACCTTATGATACAAGTGATTATTTTCAGCATCTAACACCTTATTTATTGAATGTCTTGTCTGCAACAAAGAAAAGATTGATCAAGTATCAATAAGAGCAGAAGTCACTTCAAATCACTGGAATTACTTGTAACAACAAATACATATTTAACTTAATAACAGAGTATCAGTCAATTATGTATACTACATGTAATACAATTTTCCAAGTGCTGGTAATTCTGAAGGGGATTCTTGTTGGGTGTCAGGGAAAGACTTTTTTATGGCCTGAATAGATGTCATAATCTGAGTTCTAAGAGGCAATTATTATCATATTCATATTATGGGTCAAGTTTATGGAAACTGTTTCATTGATTTTGCCACAGTGTGATTGACGGTTGGACTCACAAAAGACTCCTTACTTGAGATTGGTCACTTTTGATCATGTAATAAATAAGGTAAATCTTATTTCATGTTTAAGCCTTGAATGAGTCATTTCTGAGAAGCCAGTAGTTGAGGGTTCAGACTTTTTGAATCCCTTATCCTGGTGCTATTAGCATGTTCATCCCAATCCTGCCTGGCTGAAAAGTTGTTGCTGCTGCTAAGTTCTTAATACTCAGTCTCATAATTACATTCATACCTACATACATACTTGATTGAAACTCCCTCAACTGGGTTTTTCAATCACAATGTTAACTATTACCATACACTGGTAATTAAGAAAGCTTATTTACAGGAATTTAATTAAATTAAAAATATATTCAAAGTTATTCAAAATATATTCAAAATTATTTTGTACAAAACATATTATTAAAAAGTATCTTCATGAAACTATTAATTTCTTTAGCGTTCTTAATATTGTTGGCTAGCCCATTCCATTCCCTTGGACCCCAAAAGTAAAATGCCTTTGTCCCATTGACAATCTACATTAGGGGACCACAAAATTGCTACATACCCTTGTGTTCTTGTTGTGAACTGCTGAACCTTTATCAAAATATTTACCTAAATAATCTAGAGCTAGGCCATTTATACATTTGAATGCTGAAACTAAGTCATTAAACATAACCTTTTCCGTCACATCTAACCATCTAAGAGATCTCTGTCCCTTAGAGATACAGTTAAACTTCCTTAAACCTAATATAGCTCTGGCACCAAAATTTTGTACCAACTGCAGTTTGTGTGGATTAGATTAAGCAACATGGTTATCTTTTAGATAGGACCTTCAACTACATGTTCTGAAGTTTACTTCTTCTGGGTCCACTTACTCTTTTATTGAGACAAACCACAGGCCACATGGACATTCCTAAGGTACAGCAGCAGCATATGCATCCACAGAGTAACCAGCGGACATTGACAGGCATTGTCTTACTAAGCACTCTATTAACTCTTGTGACAGTCGCTTTGTACTCTTCTGGGGCTACCTGCATGTAAGACATGTAAGACAAACATTGGATTATGTTGGTAAAAGCCTCAGGGTTTTATTTTTCTTTTTCTTTTTCAAGTACCCCTACTGCTATGACCAGCCACTTCCAGGGAAAGAAGTTCAATGTTCTCAGTATCACATACAAATCAAATGTTCTTTCTCATATTAATATGAAGCTGAATGAAACACACATTGATTGGCTGTTACTTATTACTTATTTGGTAGGAACAGATTGCAGGTTGATAAGGGTCTGTTAAGTAATAGATCACAGAGGGCATCAAAAGTTTGTAACAACATCACTGACACACTCAGCTGCATCTCATGTGCAACTCTTTTTTTTCAGTTGATTTTGCCACAGTGTGATTGAAAGTTGGACTCACATTAACCACTCCTTACTTGAGATTGATCACTTGTGATCATGCAATAAATTAAATAAATCTTATTTCAAGTTAAAGCCCTGAATGAGTCATTTGAAAGGTGCCAGTGGACAAAGAAACAATTCTGAGTCCCTGTGAGGAATCGAACCTCAGGCCTTTGGATTCTGGACTCCAATGCTCATTGCTGATCCCAGCCGTATGCAGGATGTGTGTCATATGAACTTTGTAATAGACCTCATTCACCATAGAGTCTCTGTGGCTCAGTGGTAGCGCATCAGAGCAAGGAATCCAAAGGTCTGAGGTGCAATTCCTCATGGGGACTCAGAATTTTTTCTTTGTCCCACGCTCATCACAAGACAAAAACCATCTTTCTCTATTTCTTTACAAAGCATCTCTCTCATTCTATTTACAAACACGATGCTATATACATAATTGATCCTAATGGTATGCAGGATGTGTGTCATATGAACTCGTTTACCATAGAGTCTCTGTGGCTCAGTGGTAGAGCATCAGAGCACAGAATCCGAAGGTCTGAGGTATTTACCAAGTATTTACCATTTCACAAAACCATAAACTTGTATTAATAAGTAACAGACATTTGCTGTGTACTTGTCATATTTTCATGACTGGAAATGTGTGAGTTAAAAAGTTTCTTGGCAACCTTTAAACTGCATTAAATATGCTAACATTGAAAAATTTATCATAAATTGATCTAAAGCAATGATCCACTTCCAACAAGGTAAAATAGATGTTTTCAACAATATATGAATATATACTACTTTATAGTTAAGTCCTTTGTCCTTAAGAGTTAACAACACCACTAATCACCGCAAAATTTAGTAAACATTATCATAGCAAACAACAATGTTCCTAGATAGGTTTTATTTAATTGCACAGATGAACCTTTCATGCCCAATTGAGAGGAAACGAGAGAGAAATGGGTTTTACATCCTCGGTCAAATCATAAATAGCAAGGTGATTACATCCAAGACTTGAGCTACAAAAGCCAGATGGAGGAGATAAATTCCTGCGAGTGTTGTTCATTGATTGACCCCATTATGAGAAAAAACTCAAAGTACAGCAAAGCGAAATATCCACTCAGCACGTTATTCTCATCTGCGATGGCGTTCTTTGTACACGTTGATAGAGCGCGAGAAAAGCAGAAGAAACAGTCATCTTGGTTGCTGCTTTAAATGAAGGAAGATCACGACTCCAGTCGCCACAATTACTCAGATAAACGGTAAACGGCGATAAAGTGAAACACACACGCAACAATGGAAGCACACGTACGATTGTTCGAATTATTACAATTATTTTTAAGATTTTTAGACGAGCAAAAGTCGTAAAACTTGGTATATCAGTAATTTATGTAGCCAGCAGTGATATAAAAACCATAACTAAATGAAATAGTCACCGGAAAGGATATTAACGTTGTTATTAAAGACCCCCATAAAACGACTGAGTGCGCGTGATTCAATCCAGCCACTCTACCGAAACAACCACCTCACCTTGGCACTAAGGGCTTGTTGAAATTCCACATCAAACTTGCTATTGAGCCCGAACCTAAAAGGACAGAAGGAAAAGGTAATGATTTCCTTGTATAACAAATGTTGCTAGTTTTTTAGGAGACTGCCAGGCATCTTCTCAATGGCAGAACTTCGAACTCTGGACGGCACGTAAAATTAACCGTAAACAAAGCTTACACTGTCATGTGTCCTACTCCGCGAATAACAACCGGCTCTAGTGTCACCTGGACATTTTCGTCAGAAACACGCGAACTTTGTTCATCCTCTTGAAGATTCTCGTCAAAGATAGCGTCAAAGTTCGCCATTCACTGCGATGTTTTTCCGCGAAAAAAAGTCACCGCTTGGAAAAAGAAAATCGGAAGTGAAGGGATATTTACTACAGCCTGCAAAGAGCGCTGGGATTGAAAGACGAGGTAAGCTGGGTAACAGTTCGGTCACAGAGTTCTGATAAATTCTTTACTCGTAATCTCGCGGGCTAAATAATTTCCCTGGGTTTCTGTCGTATGTTATTATATATAATTTCTATCCTTGGTAACTCAAACTTCCACAACCTTGAATCGGCTTTTTTCTTCATTTATCTTCCGTTTATTTTTTCTCCTTTCCCGTCGTTCCATTATTTCCGGTAATTTAGTGACCTTCTTTAATGTCCCTTCAAGTTCGAGTGAACGGGAATCAACTTCATTTAACGAATATTTTTCCTTCAAAAACACTTTCCTCCTAAACATGTGTTGGGTAAATACTGAAATCACTTTGCACAGCAAAAACTACAGAAAAAAGTTGTCCATAGAAAGCCACGGGCGAAAAAGTCAGAGAAGGGTTAATTCTTCGCCATTATTATGAGTGGTGACGCTATTAGATGTTACGAAACCGCTTTTGACACGATGCAGAAAATCAAAACCGTTTGAGTATCCGAAACCATTTATTTGCTCGCATGGCTATGGCAGAGTCAAACGGGCCGTCCAAATACTGAGAAAAATAATGGGTGTTTTGAGAAAAATAATGGGTGTTTTGGCGGCGACTGACTGAACATTCGTAGAGTAAAAATGTTCAAAATGTAGTTGAACCCCTCTTCTGGAACAGTTAAATACCGGCGATAACTTCATCCACTCACGGGGCAAAAACTGACTCAAAAAATTGTCATTTTGGCTTTTGTCACAATATGTTACCTTCATCAAAGGGGCAGTTTTAATTCACGGCATTCCTTCCTAGTTGTAGACTGAGAGTCGATTCAGAAGAATTTTCATTACCCGACAGCTGATCTTCAGCTCAAGAAAATTTTAAAATGAGAGAGAGTTAAGGTCTGGCAGGGAGTCTGGCAGTTCGATAACGCTAACCAATCAGGCTATTGGGCGGCTCTACACCATCTGTTAGGAATAAGATTTTGCAACCAACTCAACAAATAATTAATTACTTTTTAATGTATTTTCTTTTACAAACTTAATAGATCACTTTTCTATCAACGTGACGCTGTATTTCCGTTCAACGCTTGTGAACAAAAAAGAGTTTGTAATTGGTAGTGACGTTTGTCTGACCATTGTAAGTTGAAAGAAAATATTGGTTCTGTTTAAGAGAAAAGAATTAATTTTATTCTCTTGGTTATGTTGTAATTATCCTAACGGAAGATTTCATAAGCAATAATGAGGGTTACGGTCGAGGAAAATAGCTACAAGATTCGAGAGAAAATATAAGAGAATTCGCCATAAATTTTGTGATCTGAGAAAATAAAATCATATGGGACCTGACAAGTTTCTAGCCCAAAATATATATGGTATATCCGAAACAAAATAATCAAATTTGTTTAGTTATTTACAAGAAAAATAAATTCGAAACCAATTCAGATCTTTCCGCCAATAGTTATTAATTAGTTATCTCAAAGAATAATGCTTCGATAAAATTAACTCTTTTTCAATTTCACTGAAGTTAATTCTCAAAATTAATTCAATCTTAAGCCACTCACGGCTAAAACTATTCAAAAAACTTGTCGCACGATGGCCAGTGAGGCAAATGTACAACCGTAGTGATAGACATTTTGCGAAATGGTTTCCTAATCTGATATTGACGGAATTTCATCAATGAACAACTTTTTTTTCCGAGGATAAAGTAAACGTCAGACGTGTAGACGATGCCTTACGGTCTGTACAAACTCCCAATTAATATTTTTACCTTCAAATTTCAAATTATGATAGCGACCAGGAAACAATTATAGAGATCGAAAGAATCAGAAAACTTTGCGTGCCATTCTCAAGCATTTAAGCAAGATCTAACAATTTTGGATGTGGTATGAAGAAAATAATTGCACTTTGTCAGCTGTTCGTCTCCACTTAATGTACCACAGAGGGATTAGAGTCGTGGTTACAATCGGAATAAAGGCGCACACGACTCCAACAATGTTTGGGACCGCAGACGAGTACGTGACAAAACTCTCAATCACGTACGGAGACCACGTGACCAGGAAAGTGCAAATGGCGAGCTGCAGGCGACTATGAGCCTTATCTTCGTCGCTTTCCTCGTTTTCTCCGCTCTCCAACTTGACTAGCTTCGCCTTTTCGCTCGAGTTCTTGTCGTCTTCGGAGTCATTTCCGAAGAAGTTGTAGATCAAAAGAGAGACTGGGATGAGGAAGATGCAAGATGTAATGAGAGTGAAGCCTAACCCGGAAGGCGGCCAATCGACCTCGCAAAAGGCCTTTCTACTGATGAAAACATACTTGCTCCACAACAAGGAGAGCGAGTATGAAAGTGTTGTGTGTGCAATGATGTAACCGAGTGGTAGAGAGCGAGAGGAATTTCCCTGGGATTTCTGTGACTCGGTCAATCGGAAATATTGTTCAGTCGTAATGGTAACCAATGTCGAAATCGCCACGATAATGTATATGACATTGGTGAGACCATAACTCCGGCACCAGTGTTCCTCGAAATACCACCTTCCGGTCGTGCTCACGGAGATCAAGAGAGGCAAATCTTTGATCGAGACCAAAACGTCTACCGCAGCCAGATTCGCCACGATCAGTGCTGTACATGAAGTGCGAAGACACCTCTTGCGGTAGATGTAGTAACAGACGAAAATATTTATTCCAATAGTCATGAGACAGTAAACCGCTATCACGGACGCGACGGGAGAATATGAAGTGATTTCCATGCTAAATCCAATTTCACCACCATAACCCATTTTCTTATGAAGCGATCTGTTCGGTAAACCTCAAGTTGTGCGAATTATTTCTCTCCGGCGAGCCACGGAGCAGCTGTTGTGGCCAGTTCACTGCCGTAGTGTTGCGTACTTTCCGCAGATTAAGGCCAATTTAGTGGCTGCTGTCTCTGCGTAAACAATGTTACAGTCTTTTCAAATCATCCAGGAAAAGACACAGGTTTGAAAATTGGTGCCTTACAAGAAATCTGCTTTCGAGTACGAGATCCGCTTAAGCTTCGTAGAAATGGCTTAACCAAAAGACAAAAATGGCTATTTGGCATTAATTTGCTCCCAACAAAGAGTCTTTTTGACAGAAATATTACAAAAGACTTTTTTATCACTAAGGGACCTGTTTCTGAGCAAAAAGTAATGTTAAATTTATGACCAAATTTTCTCTATAGTCCACCTGTTAAGGTGTTGTGAATTCTGCCTTCTTATTGGCTGGCAGGTGGTTCACTTTCTTTTCCTAGTTGTGATTGGCCAGAAATACAGGGGATTTCATGTTTCGCGGGAAAACAGCATATTTGCTCGGAGCATGGCCGTTGCTGTGGGACTATGAATAACTCGATTAATGATCTTGTTTTGAAACCTAGATCTGATATTGTTAGCTTTATAGAAGCCCGCTTTTGCCCTCTCTTTTGATTGAGCCTCTGTGCGACTTGTCTTTTAGAAGTCTTTTATTTGCGTTAAAAGAAGCTTTGCAGCGCCTTTTCGTGTATCCTCGCTTGAATGAACAGCTAACAACTGAGCAACGGCGAGACAATGCCCTGAACAATAAACAAACTGAGGAAACATGTGTGAGCCTTAGCAAAGCACGTGTTTTTTTGATGTGACAATTATTCATAAGCCGAGACATTTAAATCTTTTGTCTTTGAATTTAACCGGCACTGCGTTAAATAATAAAAGCTAAAAGGCTGGAGAAAAGCTCTCTTGACGTGGTTCTAAGGTTATTTAATAAAGTAATACGCTCGAGAAATATGAAATTGTCTAAATACCTCACGTGGCCGAACGACAGGATTTCAAGTTTTCCGTTCCGATTCATTGGTTCCAGCTGATACTCCGCTTCAAAGAATGGAAATGTCACGGTCGCTGATTTAAAAATCGTAACAGAGCTCAGGGGACAGGTATATTGCTGGTGGCTCTCGATTTTGTTTTTATTCTTCTGATGTTTTAATCTTGAGTTTAAAAATGAAAGCACGTGTCATTAAAATCGTTTTCCAATTTATTACAAGTAAATTTTTATTCGACACGCGATAATTTTTACATGAAAGGTGTACCAATTGAATAAATTGAAAGGTTTGTAAATGTATTATTCCCAATTTACACTAACATCGAAACTTTTCCAGATCATTAAGCGAATCAATCGGCAGCCGTTACATACGGAAAACTTTGTGATATCACTGTTTACCAAAGTAGAGGATCATTTCTTGTCTTAGGAACCAAAAGTATTTGGGAGAAGCGAATAAGGATGAAAGCTTTGGAGCAACAAGGACAACGCAAAAAATAATTTCTTAATTCTCAGTTGACAGCCTCTATATTTCGGGCATCCGGTTCCGTTACCAGAAATAAACAAATGATTGCGTCACCAGTTTTATCTAGTTCGATTTTTTCAATGCGGATCGCAAAAACGACCCAGAGAATAATGTTCCGGTCAGTTCTGATTAGATGCTCTTTTTCGGGAGCGCTTTCCAAACTGTCGTTTCTTTTCAAAACAAAGGCCTTACCCTCTCGACCCTTCCATGTATCAAATGGATGTCATTGATGCGCCCGCGATATTATCAGTTACCTCATAGGATCGTGAAGAATCATGGGTAATTCCATTCCCTTGGAAACGTAAATATCTTTGCTTGCGCCCGAGAACAGACTGAAGCAGATATATTGCGAGTTTAAGGGGATTTTACGCAATTATGAGCGGGCTACCCCGTGAAATATTGAAATGGATACAAAGCTTGGACCTCTCACATCCCGTAAGAAATACTAGAAGGTAAAACTGAGTGTTTTTAACGTGAAAATAGAGTTTTATTAAGGCGATCTTCAAATTGATCATTTGTTGTCCATTTGATTCGTTCTAACATCGAATCATTTATCTTTTTTAAATTAACAGAGATTTCTCAAATGGATATCTCGTAGCAGAGATTTTCTCTTGGTATTTTCCACAAGAAATTGAGATGCACTCCTACGATAATGGCACATCACTGCCTTGTAGACAAGGGAATTGGTCTCAACTACAAAGGGTAAGCGTCTTCGGTTCGCTAGTTCATTTTCTCTTTCGTAAAATCACCGGTATCAAAGGGTCAAGTCTCGATTAAGTTAAGCTTACTAAAACGATGTGGAACGACCACTTTGAATTCTTTGAATTAAGTCGGAACTAGTGGGTTTGTGGTTTAGAATTGGGAAAACATGGTGTTTTGCATGTTTTTAATGGAAAGCACCAGACCCACCCTCTAATATTTAATCCTTTACCTCCAAACTGTTGAACTGCGATGAATTTCCTTTTAAAGCAACCGGGTTTGGTATTTTATCAGGATAACACACTGTAGCTCCAGCTGATCTGTTTGTGTGTTCTTGTAACCTGTTTATCTGCTAAATTTTGCAGTATTACTGTTCACCTCATAAGGAGAACTTACTGGTAAATCAGTCTTAAAGTTAAAATGTATACAGCAGGATGTTCATTTGTCTTCAGAGATCAGAGAATTATTTAGCCAGCAATATAATGTTTAACTCATTAGTCCCATGAATAGGAAAAAGTTCTACAGAAGAAAACATTTAACATGAAATACATGTTTTCTTTGCTTTCACTGATTTCAAGATGTACTCTGAGATCTTGATGATGATAGATACAAGTGTGTATGAGAAAATATTTTGTCTTAGAACAGATTTAACCAAAGGATAAATTATAAACCTGCTAAAATCACTTGTAAGCCAGAATGCCCCAGCACAGGGTCTTTCCATCAAGAATATGGTTTTTCATATAACAGGAGGGGTATAAATCTAGTCGTTTTTTATGAATTTGTGGTATTTGGTAAGGACACAAGTTAAGAACTAGGGGCAATCATGGTTATTTGATACATAAGTTTTTGGAAGTTTAAAATATATCAGTACCTGATGGGAAAAAATTGGTTATATCATTAATACACCACCCTCTGGCTGAGCTTATACACTCTCTGCATCTGAATAAAAGATAAGCTCAGGCTGGGAAATTTAGACAGAGAATTCTCTAATCTCCATGGGCTAATGAACATTCTGGTTGTTATAGAGACTAAATGAATTGTTATTGATTTCCCTGTTTGCTTTTCTTTGTTTTTTTAGTTTTTTCAACGTCATGAATTTGACATTCCTAAAGAGGTAATAGAGGGAACAATTCATTGCAAGCCTAATGCTGCAGCTTTGTTAATGGAGAAGATATACTTCCTGTTGACAAACAGAAAGTAAGTCAGGCTCTTCTTTCTTTTGTCTTTTCATCAAAATTTTTTGGTTTTTCCTAAAATTTTTTTGTCAAGACAGGTAGGTTTAAAATCACAACAAAATTACATGTAATTGCAAAATATCCCATTCTACATTTAGTAGGAGTATTACTAACAGTATATTAAATATTACTGTAGTAGAGCTTGTAAATGCAGAATGATAGAGGCTGTTATGGCAAATTTAAGTGTTAATAGAGAAGATATACTTCCTGTTGACAAACAGAAAGTAAGTCAGGTTCTTCTTTTGTTTTGTTTTTCACCAAATTGTTTTAATTTTTCTTAAAATTTTTTTTGTCAAGACAAGTAGGTTTAAAATCACAACAAAATTACTTGTAATTGCAAAATATCCCATTCTACATATAGCAGGTATATTGCAGTATATTAAATACACTATGGTAGGGCCTGCAAATGCAGAATGATAGAGGATGATGTGGCAAATGTAAGTAAAAAGAAAGGCCAATTTAAATAGTAGTTTAACTCATAAGTTGATGTACATGTAAAATTGTTTTTAATTTTCTAATAAAGAATCAAGAGTGCACCAGTAGAAGATGAATATAACTTTACTGATAGCAACTACCAAGAACAGCTTCCAGCTCATGCAAGATCTACAGCTTCAATGGTAAATAACAGAATTTTACTATCATTATAGGTCAAAATATTTTATATTATTATACACTAGACTTATAATGAAAAATCTGATTGGTCAAGAGCATTTAATCGATATACAGTAGCGTGTGAAGTTGACATGATAATTTTGCCAAATATGTGGTGGATGTTGTATTTATCATGTCAACTTCAAAGTCTACCTTGTTTCCAAGCCCCTTATCTGTGTTGTGTTCTCACAATTTTGAAAACTTAGAGAGAGGTGTCTTCTTGTGCAGATTGTTTAAAAAATGTATAATAAAATAATTATTGAATTTGATTTTTACATGATATCATGGATTATCAAACCTCCACTCTGTCAGATAAGTCATACCTCAGTTTTAATAATTCATGATATCATTCTCAACCTTGTCTAAAAATACGTAGGCATGCATGGCATGTAAGAGTTATTTTTTGGCCAGGCAGGTTGAGATACATTGTAAAATTGCTCAGTAACTGAGCAATTACCATAAGTTAGTTAGATACTATTAGATAGTTTAATAGGAATAACTGAGTCGCAGCCAAAGGCTGAATTTTATAATTCTTTACAATATAAATATAGTACAATTGAAACTAGGGCTATTTACAAAGGGTCTCTATATATTTATGAAAGTGCTCTGTACAAATTACTGGCTACAAGCACTACAGTTTACAAAACATTGCTATAAACTCGTTGGCACATGGCCAGGATGAATGAGTTTTTGAAATGGTTATTGTGAAGTTGTGGCAGATTGAAAGTTCTTTTGCTATATGAGCCTTGATGACAGGGAGAAGTAGGTGGGCGAGACTACTGAGAAAAAAGTTTATGAATATATATCAATTTTTAATAATGATTTTTAAGTTAAACTTAAGCAGAAGTATCATAAATGTATTGTAATTTTGTGATTTTTATTTTATAGGCCATCAAAAATAATATTGCAAATACAGAGTTGTCAACTGATCCAGATCGCATTCTCTGTCAACAAAAGGTAAGAATGTTATATCTTCATGAGACACTTCTGAATGAAACACATGATATTTGTACCACTTACACTCTCTGTCTTTACATAGCCTCATTACATACTTGTGGGTCAAAATAATTCTTGAAAGTTATACAAACTGTCTACTGCATTTCAGGTTTGCAGAACTGTCTCAAATTCTCTGTATAACCTTGAGTTTAAATCAGGTTACATAGACATGTAAAATTGATCTTTCTCAGTTATATGGTTTTCTGGTGTTGGATAATTATAAAAAAGATCTGATGTGATTTTCAGCCAATGCATATTTCACTTATCACCTAAGCTTTTAGATTTTAAGTATGTTTGTGGAGCTATGAGAAAAAAGGTATTACCGACATGTGATATTTGCTGCAAAAGGGTTTGAATATAAATATATGTCATACACAGTTGCACTATTGAGGACCATGTTTATTTATTTATTTGTTTATCATTATCATTTTTTGAAGGCCCAAGCTATAATTAATGATCACTTGGAGCATAGAAGACAGGAAAGAGTTGAAGATCCCCGTGAGTACAAATGCAGATGAAAAATCAATGAGGATTAATTATAATCATGACCCTGCTGTACTTTGATGTGTTTTGAAAGCTGGACAAAGCTAAATGAATTGAATTGGTTCATGCCATTCTTCATTTAGAAAAATTTTGCCCAAGGCCTCTTCATTATTTTAAGATTTCTCTAGAAAATGCTTTTCTGTAAAAAATTAAATTAATAAATTGATGAAAACAATGGAAAATACAAACACTGGTTATAAATGCTAATCCCCATCCTATGAAATTGGGATCTTTGCCTTTGAACACATATCAGTGCTTACCAGAGCTGCAATAAAATAATTTTTTGTGAATATTTGAACCAGCAAATTCATTTGTAAGTGATGCCATTTTACTAATTGCTTGTTTGTCTAAATTACAGGTCGTTTTGGTATTCGCCCAACACTTGGCCAGCGGTGTCCCAGGAAAGTTCCCCCATCAAACTACAATGAATCACTACAAAGACCCCAGAGGCATACAAAAGGACACAAAATAGGTGAGAGGATTGATCCATCTTGTTTGAAACAGTATAGAAAGCTACAGGTCTTACAGTTTCAGTGTTGTGGTTGCTAGTCAAGCCAGGAGGCAGTGAAAACCGAGGGATGTCAGACCAGTTTGCACCAGCCCACTAAGTGACTTGTGCTCTTGAGGACA